AAAAAGTAAATCAGAGACATATTTATAGTAATTATGCAGGCAAATTTGCCTGCAAATCTCTACCAATTAAGGGATAGCAATGAAACACCAGAAATGTGGTATTCTCGTATTCGTTGTCCATTTAAAAAACTTCTCGAATATAACTCAAAATACTTCTCTAAGAATGGTTTTATCCAAATGATCGAAAGAGTATATATAGATGGGGAATTTAATGCTGGGAGACGCTCATTCCACATTTATTGCACTGTATGCGACTCCTTAGTTATTATTCACGAAAATACAATCGAATGTGCAAATGATCACTAAAGAAATATATTACCGAAACTACTAATATGCATTCTAATCCTGTACGAAAGAATGTGAAAAAAGAGGGAGGAGTATCATCACTTGGCATTGATATAGTTGATAAAATATATGAGAAATATTATTTTATATACAGTAAAGGCTTGAGCTATTATGATTATGACTATAAACATTCAAATAAAAACGAAGTTAAAAAAAGGATTGTAGTTCGCATAATTAACAGTGTAACAGTTCTTCAACGGGCTTGGAGGACTTACAAGTTGAGACCCGAGACATGGGCAAGTCGAGTTTGGAATATTGTGAAGAATGATACTACTCCTAATGAGAAAAAGTTTTTAGGTATAACACTTCACGATATAAGAATTCCTGATAATCAATATATATGGTATGTTGATCGAAAAATTCTAGCTAAAGACATACCTGCATATCATCAGAAATGTCGATATAATAATTATACTTCACGCGAGTGGGCAGAAAAGAAGAAAGATCAGTTAAAAGCATGATTAGATAATATAGCATACATAGTTACTTTTATAATATTACATCAGCAAGGCTATAGAATCGTTTATTATGGTAGTTGGTCTTATATGTTAAAGTGGTTAGCAAATCCTGAATTTTACCATATTGACAAAAAATACTGAAATTGCGATAACGAAAACTTCGTTATAAGTTCAGAATATGGGCGATATATATGTAAAATGGCAGGCAAGTCTTATCTATGTAATTCGCTAAAAATCAACTACTTTGAAACTGGATATATTGATATCTTGGGAGAGGAAACTAGTGTAGACTTTTTAAATTTGAACAATAATTGTGAGTATGTGCACCGAGTTCTCCAGACTATAGATTCTCTATTAAAATAGCAGATGGGGACCACCCATATAGTATAATATGTATTCGTGTATCCATGTATAATTATAACAATAATACATACAATAAATCTATTTACTTTTTCTACACATTGTGTCCTTTTAATCTCCTTAGCGGTTTCCGATTGAGTCTTATGCTAAAGAATATATATTCAGAAAACATCTCATGAGATAATGTATAATAATTTATTACGAAGTTAAATAGAAGTAATATTTAAGGTAGATACATTCAAACCATTTCTTATCTTGTAGCTCAGCATTAAACAGGAAGCTTCCTCTTCTCGCAACAAGATAATCATGATTTGATGATCACGCCCTCAATAATAGTAACAATGGGGAGGGAACAGTCGGATCCCAGGCCTGCCTCGAAAGGCAAAAACTGCCCCTAAGAAGAATATACTATAAAACTAAGTGTAATAAAAGTCAATTAACATACTGTTACAGAGTAGTAGCCTTCTTAATTTACTCTATAACGACGACACAGCACGGGGAATCCTTTCGTAGGTATATGCGGTGTCCAAGAGGTAAGTATAGCTTCTTTTCACTTTAAGAAACTATACCCTTCTCTAAGGCAGTTCGTGTGGAAAGACAATAACAATAATAACTTATTAACACAAGAGAGAGATAAACCTTGCCTGTAGGAATTACTCTAGAGGGGGAATATC